GACAGGTTCAAGTTGCGCGTATCAAGAAGCACCTGATCTTCGACTGCTACTGAGTGATCACGTCGCTGGCGATCGGCACACTACTTCTGGGAGTTCTGCATTGTGGTGAGACGTTGCTGAGTCTTCTCCCATAGATGCTGCATGGTGGTGACGACGTCGTGTGCGGCTTGGACATGTGCCGGAGTGGTTGGCTGCTGTGGTGTAAGTGGTTCCCGTTCGTAACACAGGAAAAATAGAGTTTTCCCTGTGGCCACATGCGACGTGTTGTTGTAAGCGAACTCTAGAGTCGGTAACTGTGTATCCCAATGGTTGACGTCTTCTTTGCAAGCTGTGCATAGTAACTGTTCAACCAATTGATTGAGTCGCCCTGTCTGTCCGTCAGTCTGGGGGTGGTATGCTGAAGACATTGCAAGCTTTGTCCCCAACAAGTCCATGAACTCCTTCCATATATTACGGGCAAATTTGTGCGTCCTTCTCTGAGATGAGTTTAGCGGGGATGCCGTGGATGGTGATGATGCGGGCAAAGAAGAGGCGAGCAGTTGCTTTAGTTGTAGCCAGTGGCGTTGTTGGATGCACGTCATTCTGAGTGCATGTCATCCTAACGTCCTGCCGAGTGCTCGTGCTATTTGTGCTTGCATGATTTGCATGAGCGTATGTCATTGTGCATGGCTGTTGGATATCATCATCTCTGTGTTTTTCTCCAAGTCTAAATGCTTGATCATGCAGGAGAAATTCAGAGCTTTCCAACGACACCAAGATCGCCTTATTCCGACCAAGATCGCCCAAGTTACAAGATTTCCAAGACTTGGATTTCTTATTACCTTTTGGGGTTATATCTAATTTGGGTGATTACTTGGGACATGACTATAAAGGGATCTTTGGTTGGGTGGTTAGGAAGCCAACTTTGACTTTTGGATTGGGGTGGCTAGAAGTTTCTAGCATGGGTTGCAAATGTTGCAACACCTAGGCAAAATCCAACTAGATTGGATTTTGCATGTGACACCTCAAGGTCCTCATGATGAGGGTTGCATCCTTGCTGCTAGGAAGGTTCCTACCATCCTTCCCTAGCTCTTGGAGAACCCCTTCCCTCTCATGGTTCTCTTGGAGTCCCCAACTCCAACTTTCTATGCCTTAATGTTTGTACTTCCTCCACCATTCTAGCCATGCGGCTGCTGGACGTTTTTACTTGGTGCTCACTCTATAGACCATCTCAACGACTGATTCAACTTGGAGATGGTAGCTAAGCCTAAGGCACAACTTCCTACCGAGCGGATTTGCGTTTAGTTGAGTAATGAGTTCGTCGTAAGCTCTCAAAGTGACGGATCCTGAACTACAGGCATTTGTCGGGATAAAGTGCCCCATTTTAGAAAACTTGTCGATCACCACGAATATAGTAATACTTCGCTATCCCTGCTAACGTCTTGTTGCTCCGAAATGTCCCGCGTATGGTACGTCGTGAAACTCCTCCAGTAGGATATGTCGGAGCGGGGCATAGTTCGGTACCCAAATATTTCCTGTGCCCTTCCTTACAGCTAACTCTTTCTCCCACTATAACAGCTTCTTAGTATGTGTTGTAGCAATCTCTGCGCCCACGGAGTACCCATGTTGGAATAGACCTTTGAGCAGAGGGTTCATCCCATCCAGCTAGATGCCGGCTACATGATCGGGGCGGCTTAACGCGTCAGCCTTGTTGTGTAACTCGGGCTTGTAGATGATGTCGTAGTGGAAGTGAGTTTCCAGGAAGTCCACCCACCGCACCTGTTGTCGTGAGAGCGTCGGCTGTGACTTCAGGTATTTGAATTTGCAGTGGCCACTATAGACTGTAGTCTTGGCTCCCTCTAGGTAACACCTCCATGCCTCGAAGGCTACGACTATCGCTAAGGCTTCCTTGTCGTGGATGGGGTAATTTAGTTCTGCTCCGTGTAGCTTCTTACTGAGGTAGGCGATGGGCTGCAAACCGTGTCCGTGATCTTGCATCAGTACTGCTCCGACTGCTTGGTCACTATCGTCTACTTCCATCACGTAGTCCTTGTCTGGGTCCGGTAGGATGAGTACTGGTGCTATAGTCAGTGCTGTCTGTAACTGCTCCATGGCTTGCTGATGAGGAGTATCCTATTTGTAAGGCGAATCTTTTATCAGTAGGTCACTCTGTGGCGCTGCTATCTTAGCGTACTGTGGCACGAACCTGCTGTAGTAGTTTGCGAAGCCTAGGAACTGCTGCAACTCCTTTACGTTCTCCAGTACTTTCCACTTCTTGACGCCTTCGATCTTCCGCGGGTTCACGTGTACGCCCTCGGCACTCACCATGTGCCCGAAAAATAGCACCTTCTTCAAGGCAAAGTGTCAGAGGTCCACTGGTGATCCCCGATCGATCCTAGGGAAGGGTTACAGGCTCGTTGTCCTAGGGGGTTATGGGCGCACTGACCCACTACTTAACAAGCCCTTGTATCCCAATGGTCTAGTGGTTGGGATTCTAACATGGTATCAGAGCGAAGGTCTCGGGTTCGAATCCCAGTGTGTGCACTTCAGGCATCCCAGTGTGGGGGGGTGTCACAGGTCCACTGGTGATCCCCGATCGATCCGAGGGAAGGGTTATAGGCTCGTTGTCCTGGGGGGGTTATGGGCGCACTGACCCGCTACTTAACAAGCCCTTTTATCCCAATGGTCTAGTGGTTGGGATTCTGACACAAAGTCGCTCTTCGATAGCTTCACGTAGAATTTGTTCTTCTGCAGGATCTCGAACACCTTCCGTAGACGCTCCACATGCTCCTCCATGTTCTTGGAGTAGATGAGAATGTCGTCCAGGTACACCACCACGCATTTATCCAACAGGGGCCGTAAGATGTGATTCATCTCTGCCTGAATCGTTGCTGGTGCGTTGCAGAGTCCGAACGGCATCACCAAGTATTTGAAGGAGCTGTATGTGGTATGCAACGCCGTTTTGTGGACCTAGTTGTTGTCCGCCATCTTGATCTGCCAGTAACCCGACCGTAGGTCCAGCTTCGAGAAGACTGTTGCATCACGTAGTTGGTCTAGTAGGTCGTCTATGCGCGGTATGGGATATTTGTTTTTTACTGTCTGTTTGTTCAGTGGGCGGTAGTCGATGCATATCCATAAACTGCCGTCTGGTTTTGGAGTGAAGAGAAATGGTGCACCGTAGGGAGAGGTGGATGGGCGGATCAGTTGCCTGTCCAGTAAATACTCTATCTGCTTCTTCATGTCTGTCAGTTTGGTCGGACTCAGTTGGTATGGTGCACATGAGACGGGTTTTGCACCTGGTTCCTCCACGATCTCTTGCTCGTGGGTGCGTGCTGGAGGTACGCCTGCAGATAGGTCGTCGGGCATTATATCATTGTGCTGCTCCAAGACCTCTTTTATTGCTGCAGGTAGTTCTGCGTTCGGCTTCTCCTCTGCTGCTGGCATAACCAGTGCTAGGTAACCCGTGTTACTCGCATTCACTGTCTGTTTGAACCGTGCCAGTGTAGTTTCAGGAACGCTCCCTGTATCCGTCCTGCTTCGTAGCTCCACTCGTTTCCCATTGTTGTAGATGCACGCCTTCCTGTTGACCCAGTCGATCTCAAGGTTGAACCGCTTCAAGAAATCTCGCCCCAAGATGAAATCTAAACCTTTGATGTTCGTAATCGGCAACGTCGACTTCATGCTTAGTGCCCCAATGTGCAGCTGCAGTGATGCTTCACCGTAGATGGGAAGTTTCGTACCGTCCACCATCGTTGCCGCGAACTTGGTCTCCTCCGAAGGTTCTCCAATTTTCTCCAACGTCCCGGGGTCACACAACAAGTGAGATGCACCGCTGTCCACCAGTTCCTGGAGGTGTCGCCTTTTGCGTAACACCTCGATGAGTAGTGGTTCCTGCTGCGCTGAGTAGCCAAAGAGGGTCTCATTGACAGGATCATAGGTTACATCAAAGATATTACCATCCCTATTTCCTACACCTGACTCAGCACTTTCTAACTTCACCTGGGGGGTAGGAAGATTTTTCCGAGGCTTGAACAACTTCTCCTGAACCTGGAATTTTCCTCTAAGCCTTTGTAGCTGTGTAGGCTTCACCTGTGGGCAACGGGGAGCCGTAACACTGTGCTGCGGGGAGAGAATGTTAACTCCATAGAACGCACGACCCTTTTCTACGCTCCATAATGCGTTGCCCAACTTCTGAGGTACCTGAATAATATCTAGAGGCTTTTTCTTGGCCTCCAAATCTCCCCTGAAATTTTCAAAGGCTTGAAAACCACGAGAAGCAATATTTTTCGTTAGAGTATCTTTATACGATACTTTTAACGAATTCTTACTTTCGTGGGTGTTCAGCTAAAGTTTCCCGGTCGATGCAGGGTCTTTTTACGCGGAGCCTCCATTAGCCTCGGCAATTTCCCCTGATGCCTTCCGGTCGTGACGTTTTATATTCTCGCCATCATTTTCTCCTTTTTTTCGCTCGGATGGCAGCATCATGAGAATCAGGAGTACCTGAAGCAGCGGTCGAAGAAGCCGGATGCTATTGAGGTGCTGCTGAAGTGTGTCCCGGCCGTCATCACGCCAGAGATGATCCAGAAGAGCTTGGTGACTGCGACCCTGTTGAAGCGCAAGCGCACGGCCTTCCTGAAGGGTTCGGCTTTTCACAGGGTTGGACACGGATAAGATCAAGGGTTTGGTTCACCGACACTATGGGGATAAGTATAAGTGGTGGCATAGGGTGACGGATAAGGTTCACGGCACAGTTCTACTCCTCTCCTTCCCCGCACTCACCTGTACTTTCTGCAACGGCATGCATATGTCATGCTTTCATGATGAGTATGTGACGGAGCGGTAAGACAACTTTACGAAGTGGAACTTGCCGTTGGCACGTGTTGACGAGATGAATGGTAATCATGCATGCTCGAGTTGTGCTTTTCAAGTTGCTGATACCTCCGGCGACCCAGCTCATCTCTGTACCGTCTCCCCTCCGAGCAGCGGCCTCCCTGAAGCTGACCTCAGCTACAAAGGCCATCATGGAAGAGTTGGCGATGGTCTTCACGTCTACCAACGGCCCATGGGAGGAGTGGCTGTGTGTTCAGGTTGGATGCGGAAAGGCGCATGGTGTCAGCTTCGCGAAGGCAGCGGAGCATGCGGCATCGGTTATGCATTGCACCGAGCGTCTCAAGGCGAGATCGACGATGCGTCAGAGCAAGGGGAAGATGAACCTCCTGGTGGTCAAGAAGGAGTTTGGGATGTGAGCCATCAGCTGTGATGGATAAGCGTTCGCAACTCACCATCTGTGGGGTCAACGTAAATGGCCTTGGAAGCAACGGCAAAAGAATCAAACAACGTGCATGGCTGAAGAAGGCCGCGGATGTGGTGGTGATGTCAGACACAAGGATCAAGGAAGACCATAACTTCTAGAAAGAGTTCAAATCAACGGCTTGGGCAAAGGCAAGAACAGAGAAAAGAGCAGGAGGGGTGGCGATCGTGGCGTTTAGAAAACACTTACGCTTCACGGAGGTGATGACCCATAGTACAGGGAGACTGTTAGGAGTGACGGTGGAAGGGGGAGTGACGCCTTTCAGGCCGATAGCGGCGTACCTCCCAGCACAACCAGGGAAGCGGATGAAGTTCCACACAGAGCAACCGGCGGGAACTCATCTGGTACTGGTGGGGGATCTCAACATCATTGCGGATCCGGACCTGGACATGGTCATAGAACACGGGTTTTGGCAGGGAGAATCAGCGCATGCTGGAGGCGTGGGCTGGTTTCGACCTCAGAGATGATATCCGGGCGCTCAACCCCGGAGAGAGGCAGTACACGTTCAAGGCGAGGCCGTCAGGCACCAGGTCCAGAATTGACAGGGCGCTGGTGTCAACGTCGCTGCTGGGGCATGTTATAGTCACAATAGGCTCCAATGTGCCTAAAACGAAAGATAGAGTGCACAGCCGGATTTCTGCACAGCGGCTTCAAACGTTCATAGCGTTCTGGTCACAACTTCAAATGATCTGATTCAACTTGGATCTAGAGCGTCTAAACGTCGCCTACAATAGGCAATTTAGATCGCACAACTTCACCAAGTATTGACGACACAGTGTTGGTTTGAACAAACGGCACTATGGCAGCCACTATAGTCTTAGAACACAAAATAGGAAGAGATATGAAGAGTTACGAGTTGGGAATGACTCCCAGCTCCTACAAACCCCAAGAGCCGAGGTACAGTGATGTGGAACAGTGCCACACTGTCCCCAACCACGAAGGGTCTCGAAACTACCCTTCACTAGGGCCTACACCAAGTGAAATGTTACACTACACAAAGTAATGTAACTATCTTCAATATCTTGAGGTGTACCCTTTTGGCGAGCTTCGAAATCACTTGAGGCTTGACACCAAGGCTCGGGCTCTTCATCACAAACTCATCCTTGAGTTCTTGATGGCTCTGCTGCACACACCGAACGTTCGACACAGGACCGAATAGAAACCGCGCACGACAAAAATAGAAACCGCGCGCGAGACACAAACGACCGCGTAACACGCGTCTAGCGATAACTCGCTATTGACTCGACACACACACTCGACATCATGACTCAACATTCACACATGCACGCACACGGACAACAAGCCGTGTGCAAACCGTAGGGTTGCACCAACAAACTCCCCCTCGGATTGTTGGCCTTAGGATATGTTGCTCTCTCAGTTCAGAGCCATCCCAGCCAGCTTGCAACACTTCCAATGCTGCTGCTCCACCAGCCTCTTAGTCATCATGTCAGCCGGCTGCCCCGTGGTCTTCACGTACCGCAACTTAACTTCACCCGCGGTCACCATGCTCCTCGTCCAATGCCACCTCACCCTCATGTGCTTTGTGAGTCCATGCAACACAGGGTTCTTAGCAAGAGCAATGGCACCCTGGCTGTCACAGTAGAGTGGGGTAGGTCCTTGCTGCTCCTCCCCCAATTCAGCCAACAAACGCCGCTGCCACACAATCTCCCATACGGCACGGAAGAGTGCCATGTACTCGGACTCCACCGAGCTCAAAGCTTGGTCAACCTGCTTCTTGCTCTCCCGAGCAGTTGGGCCTCCACCAACACAGCATTTGAAGCCTCCCACACTTGTCATGTTCTCTGGTTCCGATGCATATGAAGCATCCGAGTAGGCGGTGAGGAACAAACGGCCGGGTTCAACACCATCCGCGCCCTTTTGGCGCCTTTGTACCGCCGCCGAGTATTGCAGCCCAACGGTCGGTGTTTGGCCAAGATACTTGGCCACCCTCATTCCAGCTGCTACCTGCTCCTCATTAGGGTATTGCACAACCCTAATGGGACCTCCTAGGTGGGCCTTTGGTGGAGTTTGCTAAGAGATTTGATAGGTCGGGGCTCCTGGACGAGTCAGTCACCATGGCGGTCACAGTTCTGCTGCACAAAAAAGGACCGACAGATCAATTAGGCAACTAGAGACCCATCACATTGCTAAGTACAGTATACAAGGTGCTGGCAAAGCTGCTGGCAAACAGGCTGAAGAAAGAACTACACCTGGTGATATCGGGGGAGCAGCACGGCTTCATACCAGGGAGGAGCTTTGCATACGCAGTTTCGGTTGTAGCTGACACGGTGGAAGCCGCGGACAACGGGGGGGAGGACTGGTACATCCTCAAGGTGGATTTCCAGAAGGGGTACGATACGGTGGCGAGGCCGTACCTCTTTGAGACAATGGACAAGCTGGGCATACCGGCGGAGTTCATTCGGTGGACAGAGGGGCTGCACCACGGCTTCTGGACGAGGTTGGCGATTAACGGCTGGGTAGGAGAGAGGGTGGAGATGCAAAGAGGTGTGCGACAAGGGTGCCCCCTGGCCCCGTACCTCTTCCTGTGCGCCCTTGAGCCGCTGTGCCAAAATATCAAGGAAACGAATCTGGGGTTGAGCGCGGAAAGGGCGACAGAACTGTCATATGTCGGCTATGCGGACGATACGACGCTGATCCTGAAAAGGGAAGAGCAGCTGAGGGAAGCGGAGGCAGTTTTGGAGCAGTTCGGGGCGATGTCAAGCATGCGAACGAACAAAGACAAATCAGTGGTCATGCCGCTGGGAAGGAACAAATGGAAGAGCGGAGCAGAAGGGGTGAATTTCAAGTGGGCAGCGGATGGGGTGCCGGAACGCATGCTCGGGATATGGATCACGCCGAATGGAGATGCATGGCCATCCTGGGGGAAAGCGTGGGAAAAAGGGAAAACGGAGTTAGTCAAGTGGGAGAGTCAGCATCTGCTGACAGCGGCGAGGGTGATAGCAATTAATGCTTACATCATGCCGATCTTTATCTTCCAGGGGCAGGTCTACCCGCCGCCGGAGGAACTCTGGAAACACATCAAGAAGACGTGCGACAATTACGTCTCCAGTAGGGAGGCCACAGCGGATAAGTATTTCGTGCTGTGGAGTGGAGAGTTGGCGCGCCTGCCAAATAAAGAAGGGGGGTTGGGGTTGATAGACCCCAAAGCGAGAATCGACAGCATGGCGGTCAGAATGGTCGGAAAACTGATCGCGGAAAGGAATATCACGAAGCGATGGTTGGCAGAAAGGGCAGCGGCGTTACCTCAAGGGGCGGCGATGCTCTTCGCGGACCCTCAGCTGTGAAGCAATGGCCGGGCGGCAGCCAGAGATGGAAGGCGGCGGTCGGGGCGTTCTGGGAGTCCCCGTATGCGGAGTTGTCGGAGTCAAAAACCGGTTGGGAGGTGGAGCAAGCAAAGGTGTGCTTCAACCGCAAAGTCATGTTCAGGGGGAAGAGCCCTTACGAGAATCAGCAGGGCATGGAGGGTATCAGAGAGGCGAACTTTGGCGTCCTGGTGAAGGAAGGGCCGGGGGGGGGGGGGGGAGCGCACAATGAAGAGCAAGGAGACTGTGAGAACGGAGCTGGAAGGGGTAGCAACAGCCAGATGGGCGCTGATGGCATATGTGGCGATGTCGGAGGAATGGAAAGCGATGGTCATGGCAAGCAGAACAGCGGAGGCGGTGGCAGCAGTGGCGGAGGTCGTAAGGACGTACCTCCGTAGACACATGAGCACCTGTACTGGAGGGTGGCGGGGGTACAAGACAGCAAGCACGTGGCGCTATCAAGCGTTGGGTGCGGAGAAGGCGGAGTCAAAAACCGGTTGGGAGGTGGAGCAAGCAAAGGTGTGCTTCAACCGCAAAGTCATGTTCAGGGGGAAGAGCCCTTACGAGAATCAGCAGGGCATGGAGGGTATCAGAGAGGCGAACTTTGGCGTCCTGATGGAGGAAGGGCCGGGGGGGGGGGGAGCGCACAGTGAAGAGCAAGGAGACTGTGAGAACGGAGCAAGGAGGGGTAGCAACAGCCAGATGGGCGCTGATGGCATATGTGGCGATGTCGGAGGAATGGAAAGCGATGGTCATGGCAAGCAGAACAGCAGAGGCGGTGGCAGCAGTGGCGGAGGTCGTAACGGACGTACCTCCGTAGACACATGAGCACCTGTACTGGAGGGTGGCGGGGGTACAAGACAGCAAGCACGTGGCGCTATCAAGCGTTGGGTGCGGAGAAGGCGGGAAGCTGGAAGAGTGGGGCAGACTGATTAAGGCCGTTCTTTATGTAAAGCCGGTGGAGCCGGTGGCAGTCAGGGGTGGCAAAGTCCTGGGGGCGCTAACAAGGCTGCGTCAATCTGGTATCCTAGATGAGGAAGGGCTGGCGGTGAAGGCGAAGGCGATCCGACGCGCGCTAACGGGCCCGAGAACGACATCAAGAAAACGAATCGAGTGGGAAGAAAGGTGGGGGAAGAAGATCGACTAGAAGAAGGTGGAAGGTAGACGGGAGTCTGTGATAGTGCCTGTCAAGGCGAGAGATGTGCTGTTGAGGATGCACAGCCTGAACTTGCAAGTGGGAGGCCGGCTGAAGTTTTTGGGAGAAAGGGCGCGGTGCTCACACTGTGGAGAACCTGAAACCCTAGAACACTGCATGTTCAGCTGCCCGTTGGTATAGCGTGTCATCGGCGCGCTACTCCGTTCGCTGCAGCTGCTTGATCGGACGAGTTATCCAAGCTCACTGGGCAACCTGCGTTTCGAGGAAGGGGGCACATGGTCAGGCTTCTTGAAGACAACACTGGTGGCGACGACTTTCTAGCATATCAGGCTGGCGAGGTGCAACATGGTCTGGAGGGGGGAAAGGTTCCAGCGCAAAAAACTGGCCAGGGGGGCGATCCGAGATTTTGTGCTGCATGCCCAGATTTACCGGACTGAGCAGACATGAGTGGCAAGAAGGAAGGGCAAGGCGAAGCAAGGGAGTGACCCGTGGAGAGATCTGAAGGATGATGAAAAGGCGGCGGTGGCGCTGCTCAACGAACAAGGCTATAAGGCCACGTGGAGCGAAGGCTTTCTCTCTATTTGGCGCAACCCTAGGATGATAAGGCAACCACCATAGGCATACCACAGAGAGGAGGCCCCGTTTTTAATTAGAAGGCACGGTCGGTCCGCTCCGATATATCACTTACGACTGAGAATGTATGCACTCCCAATAGTGTAATGACATTTATATATATATATATATAAAGACACACAGGCAACAGGAGCGGCGCGAACGGTGACTACCAGGAGCAAGGGCCCCAGACTACAGAAGTAACTGGCTCCGTGGCTAAGACGAGCGACAGGAGAAACAGACCCACGGGCGACTGGCGCAGCAGGCTCGCTGGGCTACCGGATCAAGGGCCCCGGACTACTGGCACTGCTGACGTCACGACGGCTACCTCCGATCAACCTCCCCCAACTGTCCCACACCCCTTAGACACACCCCTTGCTTCTCATAAGAAACGAGGAAATGAATGCATTGAGCAGAATGAGGAGTACAAGTAGTAAACCCTAAAGTGTTGTACCCCATATGAACTGCCCCACTACAGCCTACACAGACTATAGCATATATGCCTGACACACCCCCATAGGCAAAGTGGGGGAGAACAAGGGGTCACAAGACCAGTCAAGCAAAGCAAAGCAAGCTCAGGGTGGATCACAACGTCACCACACAGTCCGAGCACAAGAGCAAGGCCACAAGGCCAGTTCACATGCAAGATCATATATATAAAGGTAAACAAGCAAGTGCAGGTATAGAAAGAGTACAGTACAAACAAGGTCAAGAAGTGAGCAAGTGAGGCCAAGTAGGCACAAGACCTAGCATAGCACAGAAGCGCTGATGATCACAAGGCGGAAGGGCCTTGGTAAAGATATCAGCAGTGTTGGCCTCAGAGGCCACGTAGGTGAGGCGGAGCTGACCACGCTGTTGCAGCTCACGAGCCAGGAAGTAGCGAAGAGCAATGTGCTTCGTTCTGTGCTCCAGTCTGTGCTCCCGACACAAGGCCAGCATGGCCTTGTTGTCTACGTACAGAACTGGAGGAGAACGAGGCGGCTCTCCTAGGTCAGTCAGCAGGTAGGTGAGCCAGTGTAGCTCCTGTGCAGCCATGGCCCCCGCGTAGATCTCAACCTCACAGCTGGAGGTGAGAACAGAAGACGAGCGGGTAGACCGCCACGAAACAGAGCCGGAGCCAAAGCTGAAGGTGTAACCCTGTGACGACCGCTGTGTCGGCTGGTCGTCAGCCCATGAAGCGTCTGCGTGACCTGTGAGGACCACTCGACGTCGCCCTTCAAGCACTAGCCCCATGCCCGACGTACTGCACACGTAGCGCAACACCCTCTTTGCTGCAGCCATGTGCTCTGGTCGGTGTCTCCCAGGAGCAACATAGCGTGCCAAGATGCTAAGAGGGTATGCAAGGTCAGGTCGTGTGCAGGTCATCAGGTACATGAGGCAGCCAACAAGCTCTGGGTACGGGCCACTCGGCTCTACGGACTCATCCGAAGGCAGAGCTGAGAGCGTGTGGCGAATAGACAGAGGAGTGGCCTGAGGCGAGGAGTACGTGAAGCCGAAGCGCTGAAGGACCTGCTGCACCATGTGTGACTGAGTCAGGGTAATGGTGCGCTGTGCTTTGTCCCGGGTGATCTGCAAGCCAAGGTAGCTGCGCAGTTCACCCAGGTCTGTGCACGTGTGTCTCTTCTGCAGCTCGGACTTCACGTAGGCGAGTCCAGCAGTGTCAGCTGTGGCAAAGACCAAGTCGTCGACGTACACGAGGATGTAGAACGGTGGCAGAGAAGTGCCGGTGCGTAGAAACAGCGACGGGTCGGCTGTAGAAGGAGCAAACCCAAGAGCCGCAATTGTAGTCCTCAGTGTGTCGTGCCACTCACGGGGCGCCTGGCGGAGACTCTAGACTGGCCGCCTGAGGCTCCACTGGGTACCAGGAGGAAACGACCCAGTGAAGCCAGGTGGGCGGCGCAGCCAGATCTCCTCGTGCAGGCTGCCCTGCAGGAAAGCTGTGCTGAAGTCAAGAGAGTGAAGCTCGTAGTCGCGCTGAGCGGCTATGTGCAGCAGCACCCGAAGAGTGGTCATCTTCGAGGTGGGAGAGAAGGTCTGAAAGTAGTCAACTCCCTGCCGCTGACTGAAGCCTCGAGCCATGTAACGCGCCTTGAAGACAGGCGGAGAACCCGGCGGCTGCTTCACCCTGAATATCCACATGCCACTGACGATGTTCGCCCCAGGTGGGGGAACCTCGTCGGCGTAGGTGCCTGTGGACTTCAAGGAAGCCATCTCTGCATCCATGGCTGACTGCCACTGAGAGGAGTAGGGACCCTCGATCCCCTCAGCGTACGACCGAGGAGTCGGGATGTCTGGTGCATCCGGGTCTCCCTCAGAGGCAATCAGCGTGGACACGAGATTAGGCAAAGCAGTGGCAAAACAATGGAACTCCTCCTGCCTGTCCTCAAGGACGTCCGTGCTAATAGCACACCCACCCCCGACGGACGGAGGACAGACACACTCGGACTCAGCAACAAGACTAGTGGCGTAGTCTAGACGACAGCGAGCAGCGAAGTCGACAAGCTCAGCAACTAAGGCAGACGCAGCAGTGGACTTAAAGGAAGGGTCAGTGACAACAGTGGCCAGGAGACGCGTGACAGTAGGACTGGCAGCACGAAGAGAGTCAGACTCAGGGTCAGGAAGGACAGGAAGAGAGGACTCTGGAGGAGACGGCAACGGGACACGCAGAGGAGCAGTGGAAGGACGCAGTGCCATTTGGTGTGTGCCTGGAACCGCAGGAGGACGCGGAACACGATGACTAGTGCGAGCAGTGCGAACAGGCGACGCAGGACGAGACGCAGGCTCACGACGCTCAGCAAGACCTCCAATAGGACCAGTGTAGGGAGAAGGAGCAGGAAGAGGGGAGGCGGGCTGTAACTGTGACTAGCGACTGGACAGGCTGTGGACACTCTAAGGGAGGAGCAAGACCAGTAGAGGGCGGGAGACCAAGAACCTGCTCAAGGAGCGGATCGAAGTACGGCCTCGGCCGCGTAGCACCTCCAGAACCAGCAGGGACGGCACCAGTACCCCCAGCAGCAGCACCAGCGCCAGCCGCACCTCCAGCTCCAACAGCGTCAGCTCCAGCACCCTCAGACGCACCAGCGCCAGCAGAAACACCAGCGCCAACACCCCTAGTAGCTCTAGCTCCAGCAGCTCCTGTAGTACCAACTCAAGCAGGACCGCGCTCCAGCACCGCCAGCAGCTCCAGCAGGACAAACTCCAGCAGCTCCAATAGCACCCCCAGTCCTAGCTGCTCCAGTACCGCCAGTACGAGCACCTCCGGAACCAGTAGCAACAGTAGTGCCTCCAGCTCCAGGAGCACGACTCCAGCGCCGGGCAAACCACTCGCGCAGCTCCTGCGGAGAGAGTGGCTCCCGCCTTGACGAAGCACCGCCCGCGGCCACACGAGCAGACCCAGCGCCCCCAGGCTCCGCACCCCCACGCTCCGCACCCCCAGGCTCCGCACCCCCAGGCTCCGCACCTCCAGGCTCCGCACCCCCAGACTCAGCACCCCCAGGCTCAGCACCCCTAGTCTCAGCACCCCCAGGCTCAGCACCCCTAGACTCAGCACCCGCAGGCTCAGCACTTCTAGCAGCACCAGAGTCAACAGCTACCTCCACAAGCTCGACTGCGTCTACCTGGGACACACCT